TGATTGTGTGTTGAGGCTGTGGTTGAGGTTGTGTTGTGGTGGTAGTGGTTGTGGTGATTTTGATTGTGTTGGTTCTGTGTGGTTTGTGGTTGTGTGGAGACTGTGATTCTGTGTGGAGGTGGTTGTGGTAGTGTGGAGGCTGTTGTTGTAGTTGTGGTTACAGAGTTGGTTGTGGTGGCTGTGGTTTATGGTTGTGTGATTGTGTTGGTTCTGTGTGGTTTGTGATTGTATGGAAATTATGGTTTTGTGTAACGGTGGTTGTGGTGGTTGTGGATGTATGGAGGTGGAGGTTGTGGTTGTGGTCGTGGAGTTGGTTGTGGTCGTGGAGGCCGTGTGTGGAAGTTGTGATTGTAGTTGTGGTTGAGATTGTTGTTTGTGGTTGTGTGGCTTATGGTTGTGTGATTGTGTTAGTTCTGTGTGGAGATATTGGAGTTGTTCTACATGGAGGTGTTTGTGTTTGGGGCTTTGGAGTGTGGTTGTAGAGTTGGTGTGTGGAGTTGTGAAGTTGTGGGGTGTGGAGATGTGGGGTGTGTTGGTGTGGCGTTGTGGGGTGTGATTGTGGAGGTGTTGGTGTGTGATTGTGATTTCTGCTAATTACTTTTTCTGTCAAATAATTATGTTTAGTTTTTTCTATGCTAGTAACGCAATGGTTACGACAAAAGAAATCAGTCCATCAGCTATGTGGAATAAGGAAGTCAAAATCATATTTTGCGACCTTTGTGTTAACGAGATCGAATTGGGAAATAAGTCTACCATCTATTTTAACAAAAAAGGGAAGTCAAAATCATATTTTGCGACCTCTGTGTTAAGGAGGTCGAATTGGGAAATAAGTCTACCATCTATTTTAACAAAAAAGGGTGGTAAAATATTATGAAGAGGTTCAAGAAAATGACGAAAAGAAAGTACGAGAGGATGCAACTGAAAAAAAAGTGGGATCCGTTGAAAAGGAACTGGAAGTTATTGAAGAAATTAAAGCGATGATCCACGAGCATGGGTTGAGATCCAATCAAACAAGCTATTGATGCTTTGGAGGAATTGTGGGCCGAGAAATTTGAGGTAAGAACATATCCATGAAATATTGTCTTTTCATGACTTTCTTTTCCTGAACTGTATGAACATATCCACTTCCCCTTATATTGCAGGCAGTTCCAGCCACCAAAAAATTCAAACCCAATAGAATTGACCCTGATCTGGGAGAAAAGTTGACAGTATGTTTGGTGAGGTTGTGGCAACGGGGACTAATGCCTGGAACTTTAGTGAGCAAGGGTTTGCAGGCATACCTAAGAGTTTGGATGTCGAGCAAGCAAATGGCTCTGGTGAAGGCCCAAGCCCAAGCCAAAGTTAAGTGGAATCCACATGCAGGTCAAAGCATCCAAGCGTAGAGAAAAATAAAAAATGAGTTGTTTTCATTAGAAGCCAAATATCAAAACTGGTGGCTTCATGCACCAGTGATCATGGGAACTTCACAAGCGACTTCCATGGACGAGGTTATCAGAGTTTTGGAGGCACCTCCAAAAATTTATGAGAACATGTCGTTTTATTTGAACTCCATGAAGTTGTTGGAGGACCCAACCTGTAGAGCGTTCTTCATAAAGATGGTCCCTAACCGTATGGTCAATTATTTACATTTTTTTGTGAAAGCAAGGAGCATTGATTTTAATAAGTTATCTTTGAACTACCGGTATTTATTTTCCAGTAGGTATATAAAATTTCTGATTTCGATGTTTTTTTTCCTTGGAACAATGTTAATGTTATTTTGGATGCTTGCCTTTCCCTCGTACACTTTTCATTATTCGAAGTTTAGTAAAGTCGTTTGATTCACATGTCTTACCTGAACAGAGCACTTATTCAACATGGATTCACAAAGACAAAGACGCAAAAGGAGAATTGTGGCAACAGTATGTCTGATGCACGAGTAATATAACTCATACGTAAATCAGTCTCCCTGCATGACATCATCTTACATTGGTGATAAATGGGTTGGGAAGTTACTTAAAGAACAACCTATAAGATTCAACATGTTTCGTATTACAAGCCATATTTGCAAATCTTCTCGATGAAATGCATAGGAATAAAGCTGTTTGATTCACGTGTCTTACCTAAACAGAGCACTTGTTCAACATGGATTCACAAAAACAGAGACGCAAAAGGAGAATTGTGGCAACAGTATGTCTGATGCATGAGTAATATAACTCATACGTAGATCGGTCTCCCTGCATGACATCATCTTACATTGGTGATAAATGGGTTGGGAAATTACTTAAAGGACAACCTATAAGATTCAACATGTTTTGTATTACAAGACATTTATAGATCTTCTCGATGAATTGCATGGGAATAATGAACATTATGAGTTCTCTCAATCAAAGAGGTGTTAAAAATAACCCTCTACATTTTGTCAAATAATGAATCAATGAGATGAGCAATGGAGCGATTTCAATATTCATCGAAGACAATCAAAAAATTCTTTTCAGTGGGGTTGAAAACTCTTGTTAGTTTGTCATCAAATATTTTCAAATCAAAGAATCTAATATTTGAGAGGACTCCAATAAAGATAGCAAATGACCCGCAGTATATGTCATTTTTTAAGATAAATATTTTTACTCAGTATATTCAGAAGTCAAAATAAGTAGTATAATTCACACAACCTTCTTTAACTTGTTAGAATTATATTGAAGCGATCGATGGAACACACGTGGATGCGTGTGTATCCAATCATGAAAGGGTGCATTCATTGTGCGGTGTGGATCACCAACGCAAAATGTGAAGGTCGTATGTTACGTTTTACTTTTGTTATGGTTAGTTGAAAAGGCAGTACACATGACAGTTGTATGTTTTTGCCACAAGAAATTGAAAATACAACTTCCCTCACGCACTTCCAGATTTGTTCAACTATTAATCATATTATTAGATAGTTTTTAAGTTCATTACTAATTATTGTTGTGACATAAAAATATTACTTAGTAGACGTTGAATATCCCTTACAAATAGGGTATCTGAAGTCATTTTAGAATATCAAATATTACATTCCCGACTTTGAAAGATCCTGCAAAGTTGTCCGGGGCAGGAAAAAAATATTTAACAAAAGACACTCGTCCTTACGCAGTGTAATTGAAAGAACATTTGGAGTGTGAAAGAAAAAATGGGTCATAATGTGTGATATGCCGACAAATTTATTTCTGATGCAGGTGCAGATTGTTGTGGCCACAATGACTCCCCACAACTATATTAGACGGCATCATTCGCGCAATGACGTATGCTTCATCATCGTCGATGATGATTATTTACATGTTCCGCCTGAAACAATTGAATATCATATAGGACAATTTATACCACAGACAGAAGTAGAATCCCAAGACGATTGCACCCAGGATAATGAAGGTGTTGGGGAAATGACCGAATTGAGAGAGCATCATTGGTGGATGCTGAATGGACCAATTCTTGTTTATTTTATACAGTTCATTTTTATTATTTTTCGTCTTTATTTGATATTAATTGTTTGGGTTTTTTACACTATTTAAGAGTGTTATTTTTTCCATTTGCATTTCTTTAGTTTTAATTTTGGTGGATTTGAAAGATCCATGATGAGACTTTTGGTCTTATGGGTTCTTCTAGATGGCCTGTTAGTCGTTGGTTAGTGTCACATGTGAAATTCTAATGAAGACAATCAAGTTTCTCTCTTTTTTTCGGTGTTGCGGTTTTTTAAGTTCTTCTGGATGGTATTTTTTGGTGATATGCATATGTGACACACGAACTTGGTATTACGTGGGTTCAAGGCAACCAAGAACCTTTTTTTATAATGTTCGTTATCTTCTTGTAGTGTCATTCGTTGGTTGGTATGTTGAATTCTCTGAGACATCACGCCTACAAAAAACTGTAATTAATTACTCTTTTTTATCAATTTTTATTTCTGTTATGACTATGAATTATCTTTTAAAGCATTCAAAAAAGATGAGCTCGAGGATTTCTAGGACTTCCCGAGGATTGTTCTGCCACTGTGGACTTCAGAGTTAACTGTTGACATCACGTCAGCACACAGCTCTAGAAGACAATTCTACAGGATCCCACAAATAATCGAGTAGAGTGACTTCTTCCGATGGGCAGACAGGCTATCAGATTCCACCACCGAAAGTGATTGGAATTTAATAGTATCCCTGGAGAATGGCGTAGCTCGTGACATACGTCATCTGCATTTTACAAATAATATTATTAAATTATTAAATATTATTTTAATAATTTTTTTCTTTAATTTAGTAACTATGATATTGTTAAGTGAGTTATATATTTTATTTTTTGTACTGTTCTGAAGTAGATTTTTGTTTATAAAATATCAAATATATTTACATGACAGTTATGTTGCAAACAGCAGTACTGCACATGGACAGAATGGTCATTTGTCTAAAAATAGCTACAGCACAACTATTTTCAAATTGCAAAAAACAAACAGCCAGCAAGCTATTGCGTGACAGCTTATTAATAAGTTGCAGCTGCCCCAAAAAGACCTTTAGACTTCCTATGGGTCAGCTTATATTTTTCATAATTCTCCAAGCTTTTACATTTAAATCAAACTTTATAACAAAATTTCTTAATTTCTATCTTTTCTCGCACATTATGATTTCGCCATCAACTTTTTTTATTCGTAATAACTTTTCATTTTGATTCTCCAACTACATCTTTTGCACAACATTACCAATAAAAAGAAATCTATGCAAGTACCTCAAAAGCTTATGAAATAATCACAAATTAATATTTGAGGGTTACCCTTAAGCTCAAAATGAAATCTATATGTGTGTGTGTGTGTGTAGTATGTGAGATAGTCATACATTTACACAAGCAATTATACAAAGATGAAGATGAATATTTATTTTTTAGCACTTTATGCATAGGCAAATGGGAAAAAAAATAAAGTTTGAAGCATTCTGGTTTGAGAATATAAATGATAGGCGTAAAAGGTAAATGAAAAGTGGCATATTTTGCATGATTAAATCAAAACTGAATACCTTTTGGATAGCAGATTTTTTGTTTATTAAAAGCATTGCTCCTCCATCCAGCATCTACTGTCTTGTCAACAATAGGAACACAATCATCCATGTCTGATGATATGGCAGATGGGTTTGCTATGTGGATAACCTTGGCCTGCGCATGAACACAAAATAGTAAATTAAAACACTATAAAAATCTGAAATTCTCTGCCAATGACTAAAATCAATAATCAAGCCGTATAATAGCTTTTAAATATGTTTTGCGGAATTTTAAGTTCTTAATATGTTGGCAATTGCAGAATGTTAAGTTATTAATATGTTCGAAGAATGTCAAGTCCTTAAAAAGAGCAAATACTGCATAACATATTTGCTATCTATCATAGATTTGCGTTACAAAAGTTCAACAAGGAGGAAATTCCATTTACATAAAAGGAAATTTTCGTAACTGGTTGTGAATAGTAATAGAAAATTTTCAAACTTACTACAAAACCTGGTTTATGAATAGGCACATATGTGAAAAACAAGCGACGTAATACGGATCAAAATCTACAATCGTAAAAAGAACCTCAACTCACCAAGGTTTTGATTAATGTCTGGCTCTTTAGTTTTGATCCAAATCCAATTTGAGATAAATAAAAGATGCAATTGTTTTGATCTTAATTCAAATTTTCAACCGTAGCCATCACTCATAGAATTACAGCTCTCATATTTTTAGTTTAAGATAGCAAAGTTGAGCAGGGCATTGGGTGCCACATTGATGGAGGATGGCTGAATAGAGATCGAGAATTCCTGATGAGACACTAAATAGATAGACTTCATGTATGTAATATTCGGCCACTCCATATAACAACGAGCTCGTTAATGCAAAAAACACCCTGAAAGTTTCATATTCCAAACGTCATATTAATTACCAAATGTTGGCAAAACATCTAAACGCCCAGATAGCAATTTAAGTTGGTTGTTTCACGTTAGAAGAAGCATGACTTCACTATGAAATTGACTATATCCAATTATAACTTCTATCAATATTACACAACTTTGACTGACGACGACATAGATATAGCCATGTTCCATAGGTTTCTTCATCTTTGTTATTTGGCATTAAATTGACCACGTCCATAATCTCTAAATGCATTTTATAAGCATTTAAGCAAGTATAGATTCGCACAAATTAAATAAAGTAAATGACAGAAAAAATTTAATAATTTTTTGGCTCAATCAAACTCATATCAAAGCTAAAAGGCAAAGGATGGCTAAAATTGAGAATCTCGTTAGCCAGCCTAAAACCAAGCTTGGCTTGCGTGATTTTGAGCTGAGCATAGCCATGGTTGGATCAGCCCACCATATTTCTATTCCACAACAATGGCAAGTTATCTTCTCCACAAACTTACAATGGATAAAATCACAAGAAGCGACAGAATTCACTGTACCCTTTAATTGATTAAAACCAAATTTTTGTTTCTGCAACAACTAGCCCTACTATATGTATTTCCCACCAGTCAAACAATACATCTTACTCCTACGCTTCCTGCAGAGAAAACATGAGTGACGAGTTGAGAGGAACAGAACTATTAAAGGCATCTGTCTAGCCATGCACTCATACTGCTGTCTTGCCTTAAAATATTGAAAAGAACCATGTAACAGCCATTAAAAAACCAACAACAACAACAAAGCCTTAATCCCACTATGCGGGGTCGGCTACATGAATCCTTTTTTTCCATTGTGTCCTATGTCATATTCTATTTAGTGTCATATTTTCATTTAGTTCTAATAAATTAAGATCATTTTTTATACAATAAGCCCAAAACAGCCACAAAAACAACTAAAAAAAAGATCGTCTTTCAAAAACGCTAACTTCTGGATCCCAAAATTCAAAAATTAATACTTCATAACAAATTTTATGAAAACTAAGAGCAAATGAATTATTTATGCAACCATAAAATGGCTAATATTAAAGCAAACCAACCTTAAGAAAAGGAACAGCTGAATTTTTGAGACAAAGAAACTTGCCTCTTCACGCAGAGGTGCCAACTGATGGTTAGAAACGTAGCTCATAGCTATTTTTGGAGAATTTACGTATTCCGCCTCTGACCCGGACTCTGCTGTAGATGTATCACTACCTTTTATCTAGCCCAAGGAGAAACAAAAACTTCATAATTTATACAACTACAAGCCTTTATCCCACTAAGTGGGGTCAGCTACATGAATCCTTTTTCTCAATTATATCTTATTGAGTGTCATATTTACATTTAGTCCTAATAAATTAAGATCATTTTTTTATACAATAAGCCCAAGTCTTTCTAGTTCTACCTACATAATTTATGTCAAAAAAAATAAATTTTCAAAAAAATCATGGATAACATAATGAAAACTTACTCTAGGATAATGTGGTTTGGCATAAGCAATGATTTTCCCCTCATTGTTGGAGACGGTAACAATCTGCCTCGCACAGTGCACTTCACCACTAAGGACCATCTGAACAAAAAGTATGAATAAGATTCTTCATATTAATATAGCAATAGGAATAACCAAATGGCTTCTAACTGAAAAAGGAAGAGAAGGTTTACTTATATACCACTCAATCCCAATGTATTTACATATCTAACAACTAAATTTTAATTTTTACATATATGTCACCTTATCAATGCATGAAAAGGTGTATTTACTTTTCACAAGTAAAATAGTGGTATTTTTTATGTGATATAAAGATTTGGTGCTATAGATATAAAAAGTAAAGTTTAGGAGCTAGATATGTAAATACATAAGAAATGGGTGGTATGTAGGTAAATGCCCCGAGAGGAAAACCTTCAAAATATGAGGATCTTTCCATGGGCCCTTATCGGACTTCATGCATCCACCTTGATCAGCACACGTACAGCAACCGCCGAGAAATTCTGGCAATTCACTGAGTAATCGGGAAGAACAAAACTCAGAATAATGCCAACACTGAGTCGGCTACTAAAAATGAAATTAAAAACTTACCAAGAATCAATTATTTCAAGAAGCTTAGTCTGATACTTGGTTCCAAGCACCTGAATTAATGAAATTTTAAATCATAAATTGTCTGAGATATTAAAAAAATAAGAATTGCTACTGGCAAACCATTGTAAAATTACACTCACATGAATTTTTGATGAAGTTTTTGGATCAAGGAATGATTTCACACTGTTCCAAAGTAGTTTGAAACCGGGACCAGCATTGATGATGAACATTTGATGCAGAGTCTGCAAATACAGCAGCCAGTAAATCCCTACTCAAAATAATTCTCTAATATGGGCTGTCTCGTAATAGATTTAACTGCTTTTGTAAATCATGTAAATCAGGATTTACTAAATCCTGCCAAGCAGTATTTAGTAAATCCAGGAATTAAGGCCAAACTGTGAATAAAACTAAGAAAAAACCAGATTTACGGAATTCAGGATTTAAAAGTGACATTTTTTCTTTCAAAAAAAAATTAAGTTAAATCCCACTTGAATCAGCTACCAGATAGACCCATAGTGAGCTCAAATTTCTTTTATATAAAATCTGATTACTAATAATAATAATACTAATCATAGTAGTAAAATGGAAAAATTAATGACTATGAAGATGTAAAATCACATACCTCAGGGTAGTTGTCCCCATCAATTTTTTGTAACCGCATAATTAATTCACGAGCATTCTTCGTAAAATTCTTAAAACCCTACATATCATCTTATTAGGTGTCACAACAGACAGATCATTATGGGGCCACTTGGGATCACTTCTTTTTTTTTTTATTTTGCATTTTTTTTTTCTTCTGTTTTAATTTAAAGTAAAATATGCTTGATTGACCTAGTTGTTTTTAAAAACATTCAAAATATTTTTTAGGTATTTTATGTGTTTTTGAAAACAAGTTGATTTATTTTTTAAAATATAAATATATAAAAATTATACCAATCGAACATATTTCAAAAACAAAAGAAAAAATAAAAACAAAAACAAAAAACAAAAAACAAAAGTGATGTAAAATAGGCCCTAAGGTTATCATGCTTGGTATTCAAATGAAGGTAACAGTGCATAAGCTTAAAACATACCACTCCTTGAACATCTAGGATTGTCATACTTGAGTCTATGTGCCTTTTGGCAGCAATCGAACATGCAGGAAACTTGACCTGGATACAACTCTCAAACTCCTTCACATGATATTTTATATATCGTTCCATGGTCGTCACTTGCATGAGTTTATTGGGATCAACTTTTCCAAGCCTTTCAATGTAAACAGGTCTTCCCTCCTTATCCACACCATGATAACCATGTGGATAGTACTTTAGAACTTGATCTAACTCAGCATACTCAAAATCCTGATAAAACATAAGCTGCAGTTACGGTTGAGCTGCTCATGTTCACGAGGTAAAATAATGTCGGAAGCAGCAAAGCAAAGATGGACAATTAAAGAGGTAAAAAACAATTATAAATATTTGAAAAAAAAAATTGTAAGATAAAATAACCACTCCACATGAAAGAATAAGGTTTGTTGCTTCAAACCATACCCAAGCCAAACTGATGATAAAATATAAGCTGAATTATGCTACCTAAATCAGCATGGAAAGTGTAACTAAATTGAGCAACATGTAAAACAACAACAGTTCTCTTAGGTTCTAGTTGGTGCTCTCACAGGGAATAAGACATTGTTAATTACCTCAGTAAGACTGTCAACACCAAATTCCTTTCTCCACTTGATCATATCAGCCCACATGTGCTTTGCTTTTTCAATATCAAACTTCCTTGCTTTAAGAAATCTGAGAGCAAAAAAAAAGGCATAATTAGACATACTGTAATGCAAGTTCAACAACAAAACAAGACATGTCATCTATTATCATCAAATTGTATAGCATAAGTCAAGAAATATATGAAGCTCGTAGTTTGTGAACAGTTTGTGTTCAGCTTGCCAAGTAGCTCATGTGTGATTCATTTATTAACCAAGCGAGCCAAACACAATCAACTTTTTTTTAACTCGGTTTATAAATAAGCCGAACATAAGAAACCTTTGTTTGAACGTGCTTGGCTCACCAATAAATAATTAAGGAAAAAAAATTAATATAATATTTTTATATTGATTTTTTTATATTGTATTTAAAAAAATTTAATTTTTATTATTCGCTAGATCATTCAAGCCAAATTCAAGTGGAACATGAGCTAAAACGAACAAGCGAACTCAAATCAAGCTAACCATGAACCATGAATATGCATTCATGATCCATTTTAAACAAAAAAAAAAATTGCATGAATCGAACACAAATAAACACTAAGCTCGCTTGACCTTTGCCAGTTTACACGCCTAATATAGCAGGTGTAATTGTTAACTCAAAAGGACCATTAAAGTAAGTATCATTCATGATATAAATTGGCCAAATAGTAGAAAAAAATGATTCAATAAATGGACCATTTCCCTAGAGCCAGATGGAAGTATAAGAATTAATTACCAGAAGTGATTGGAAATACTGTTGTGATTTTATCAACAGCCGAAGAATACCCAAAAAATCTTAATCTATGAGCAAGTTCCATAACAATTAAAACAGAATACTTCAGGAAACCTTGTGAGCTGCATGAACCCAAACAAGAAGCACTAATATCCATATACGAGGCAATTCTAAGCAAAGTTTGGCACGTAAAACAAAATAAACCAGATTTATAAGTCCCCAAAAAAAGAGCAACAATTCTTACTGTGCAACCCACTCACAGAACAGCGAAAAATTAATGTTCAATCCAAAATTCTTAAAATTCTTATGAAAAGGGACAATAAAAATCATCTTTTACTTCCATCCTACATACAGGAAATAAACAACTTGGAAACAAAATGTAAATAATCAAAGATTAGCAATAGCTTTCTCGTAATAGTACATTTACACGATAAACAAAAGGGTAATAAAATAGAATTTCCAAAATACTTAATTGAAACATAGAAATACTGACATGAATTAAAAGACAAATGCTTGCAAATCACCTCAACATCATGTGATAATCATCAAGCTTTGTGGGTAAGAGCTCATCCATGATTAAGGATTGACGAAATGCATCAACAGCTTGTAGCTCCTCAATGTCCCTCACATCTTCAATAGAAACAGATAGAACTCTGCTTTCATTTCTTTTCTTGCTGCTTTTTTTCCTCAGAGAGTGTCGGAATTTAGTTGACGCATTTATTGCCTTTTTCTTCAAAGATCCGATCCTCGTCCTCCTATCATCTCCCGAATTCTCAAAATCAGACTTCCGCTCTTTTCTTCCATCATGACCAAAACTTCCCTCGAAACCTGCACAACATTTGAGAAATAAACCAACATTGTTTATATGGAAAATAAATCAATTAACGTGTAAAAAAAAAATTCTGAGTTGGGTTTCCAAAGAAATCAAATACATGACATTTAGAAGGACAAATAATCTCATCATGCATGAAAATATCTTTGCCATTTACCCAACAAAAATTGATGTGCTTAAATTGAAGGATAATAGAAACAATGTTTAATGGAATACCACCTTAAACATGTGATTTGAGTGCAACCATATGTTTTAAATATTAATAATATATCACGTTAACCAATACCTTCTAAGAAAATGTCACTCAGCCAACTCTCATTACGATAATTTAAAATTTAGTGATTCAACTAATATTAGAACTAATATATGCATAGGGATCAGACAGAAAGGTCAACTTACGCAACTAACATCTGGGTTTGGGCAGCATTTCAAAGACACTGCTTAATTTGACTGTTTTCTGAGTTAGCATAACAATTCAAGTTTAGGATCTGATTGGAGCAAATGTTCACATAATTGTTTTCCGAAAAATTGTGTCATTAATGTTCAGCAATATTTTTCTTGCTGCTTTTAGAAAAGCTAATGTCCGACTTTTTCAAAAGGGAAAAAGTCCATAATGTCAAGAATTTTTTAAAAATTGTTTATCCCACAACCATTCTATAGCTACAAGTTACTTTTATAAATAATTGCAATTACAACAAACAAGCACATAGTCTTTGTTCACAAGTAAGGAGTACTTAAGGATAGAATTAAAATAAAGGATTTGGGTGATTTACCAATAAATTCAAATATATAGGTCGGGAAAGTTATAGGAAGAGTATTATTATATTCTGCTTGGTCACCAAGCAGTAAGAAGGTTGTTTTTATAGTTCAAATGAACATGAGGTTCATTCTTTAAAACATAAATTAAATATATTTCCTTTCAGCTAACGTCAATTAATTGAGGCAACAATTTTAAAAGAGTTAATATATTAGCACAATACACCTGCAATATTAAAGATTTGAAAAATATATCAATACTTTAAATATTTAGAGTAGCAAGCCGATAAAAATCCCTGATGAAAAAATAGTGTATATAACTATAACAATTTTACATACGATGAGGTAAAATATAGAAACAGATTGTACTGAACAAAAGATTTATGTCAGATTGAGCACAAGTACGCAGTAATTAATCAAAAATGAGACTAATTGAATTGATGCTAATTTGCAAAATTCATTACAGCAAGGAAACATTTTCTGATATCACAAACAATTTTCCCAATCATTAATGAAAGCAATGACTCAGGAAGATTATCTCCCACTTTAATAAATTAAAAAACAAATAGTCTCTTTATTATGCTTAACCATTTCGTGCCTTTTGTGTGAATTTGCATCTAAAATGCTGATACTAGCTACAACTGAGAAAGCTTCCCCTCTCTATGATCACAAGCCAAGTTGAACATAAAATACCATCATTAAGAAAGCTCATATGTGCCAATACACCTTCAATATCTTCATATATAAACTGCCACAACCTTTCAATTCTATGTATTAGAGATTAAATTTATAAGAGTACTGTCAAAAATGGTATGCACTGATCTCGAGGTAATTTGAAGTCTGCTCCAGTAAAATTGGCTAACCTTAGCTGACTATTTCCCACAAATGGAGGACTCTAACGGGGAACTTTTCCCTCCAAATGGAAGATACCAACCGAGAATTATCTGCAAATTATACAAAAGTGGGCTTCAGGTCCCCTCATCCTCACGAAGCAAAAAAGGATTCTTTAATGGTCGTTTAGAATTGTTAAAATCTCCCATTAGACAAGCAACCTCTTCACTACCTTCCGACTGGTAACCTACCTCCGACCATCCATTTGCCTCCGCCCGACCACCTTTACAATTTTCAGCCGATCATTCCAAAATCAAGAGAGACTTGCACACATGACCATCAATTCTTATGCATTTATATATTTGCATGGACCCCACCCAACTCATTTGTGTTTTTCAACAAATCACCCTCGGGTACTGACCAACCGCCAGCTTCCAACGACATCCTGCCTTCGGTTACTTCAAATCAGGTTAGATTCACAAACCACCCAATCCTTCCGATTTTCATAAGCTAACCACTAAAGTGTAGTTTTATTCATCGGTAAGCGACCTCACCAACCGGCCATCTTTGCTTCGGCTAACCACATGTTGGTCGGTGGCCTCAAAGTAAAAATTAAAAAGGAAGAAGGAAAGAAGATTTATATACACACCCCACTCACTTTTTGTTTCTGATATATAAACACATACATATTCATATATAGTGAAATATATAAATAAATATATGCATATCACTGATTCATGAAGGTTTCATAATTATAAGAAATTTCAAGCGAAACTTTTTTTTAATGTAGTGTTTTAGCCAAGTTATTCTTTACATGCATAAGCTTAACACAATTTTGTTTAACATATCTAGGTTTATCATGTGTTATTTCATGAGAAACATGAGTGCCTAAAAGAACCGCACTTTTGTCCTTAAGATAAAGATTGGGCAAGATCAAGGAACTCATGAACGACAATGACCACTCGACACTAGAGGAACTCGAATAAGAGCAGTAATACAACCGACAAGCTCTATGAGGGGTGCAAAAAAATATAACACCCGGCAGTAACAAACTCCGCGAGGGTGTAAGAAAAATCTAATACCCGGCAACGACAAGCTCCTCCAGGGGTGCCACAAAATCTAACATTGCTCCTCTAGGGGTGTAAAAAAAAAATTAACATCCTACAGCGACAAGCTCAGCGAGAGGTGTAAAAAATTCTAACATGCGGCAGCGATAAACTCCGCGAATGGTGCAAGAAAATCTAACGCCCAACAACGGCAAGCTCCGCAAGGCATGCAAAAAATCTAAGAACTTAACCAATAATCTTCTCAAAAAATTTACTCATCAAAGACCAACAAAAGATTTGTTAGAAAACTAAATAAGGTTTGGGGCTAAGGAAAGAATATCTTTTATGCACTCATGAATTTTCCATTCATATTGCAGCTTCGCCTACAAGAAAAGTAAAAGTTTGGGGCTTCATGTATGGACTGAAAGTATCACCATACTCGAATCGTCGTCAGAATCGCACCTACAATCTGCTCCCATCGAATTGACTGCCCTCCACCAGCTTTTCCTCCAACTGAGGATTTCTTCCAACGAAGAGCTTTTCCTCTGACGGCCAATTTCTCCATCATCTTAAAACTTCTCCTCCGACGACTCCCTCCGACAGAAAAATACCAGAATAGCAAATCCAATAGATAACGACAAAGATATCAGGATCTAGCACAAAAAAACCTAACAGAGAATACCAATAAAAAATTATGTGTTCAAGATTTGTTTGACTTATAATTTTTCTTGTTTTTATGGCAGTTGTCGCTATCAAGAAGCAAAAAAATTAGAAAACTTAATATGTATACTAAAAAATGATTTGCATAGATCTTGAGATAACCCGAAGTCTGTTCTCCTCGAATTGGTTACCCTCGGCCGACTTTTTCCCAGGACTCCAACGGAGAATTTTTCCCTTCGAATAGAAGATACCAATGAAGAACTCGGACGAAGGACTTTTCCCCCGACAAAGGATTTCGACGGAAGACATTTTAGCAGAATGCGTAATAAGAAAAACTAAAATATCTAATTCCACCTTTTTAAAGCAAGTGTAAAATCATAATTTACTTTTTTGACCCTCTATAATCTATAAATAGGAGAGTCCTTTCATGAAAAGGGACTTTTGACTCCCCTCACTCTAAGCTCTAATTTGATGGAATAAAATGGGTCAATGATCCCGGGAACACCTCAATTCGCCCCCAAGGGAGCAAGTTTTCCTCTCTCTCTCTGACTCTCTCTCTCTCATTTTTGTTCCCTGGATCACACGCTCTATTCTTTGGGTACTGTTCACCAGACAGATTTGGATTCAACAATTTAAATTCGTCAAAAGTAGTAAAATTTAAGACGTACAAAAGCGCAATTGCAACAAGTCTTGAACAAGAAACAAAAGCCAACTAATAAAGCCCCTAAACTTCATATCCTTACCCCATGCCCAAAAGAAATCAAAGTAATATTAACTATGGCATGTGATGGCTTCCAGAAAAATCAACCGGGAGATAGAAAGAAAATTTCATCCCCCAAACCTTTCTTCAAAGCTTATATTTCATCCTTTCAAATAACAAAATTAAGGGTACTCATACGCAAGGATTCAAATCAGCTAAATAACCAAACTATTCTTGGAATTACTAGATGAACATTAACCACTAGATTCCGCCCTTCTGAAAATCGAATAAAACAAGCTGAAGAGGCACGTAGGAAGAGTAGAAAGCCCCAAAATTTTGCACAAAAGGGTAAGGGAACTCGAGGGGTGGGGGAACTCACATGGCCTGGCAAGACGATCCAGCGAACCCGACATTTTTCGCCGACGAAACAAGTTCTGGACGGAGAACAAAGCAAAAATTCGAAGAGCTGAAACCCTAGATAAGAAATGCTATTCGATAGAGAACCAGTCAGAGCTCGTGGGAGCGTAGAAAGAAGATGGAAAATTTACATGCATACTACGATTGTTTATCATTTTATATGTTTTAAATAATGTAGAAATGTTTTGGAATTTACATATTATATATATATCTAAGTTTTGTTACTTATTTATGTAAAATTTTGAATGTTGAAAATCTAAGATGCCACACTTTTGACTTTTTAATCTTAGTTCTTATTTTTATTTTATTTTATTTATACTTTAATTTAAAACAAAATACAATTACAATAATTCCCATTTTTAGTTTTTAAAAATAGTCCAAATAATTTTTAGATGCTTTAGGTTGTACATCAAAAATATGTCATTACAGATCTCGAGAAAATTCAATGGGTCCCACTGATAAAGACCAGTAAATAGAGATAGTAAAAAAATTGAAATATCAAACATCATTTCTTTCGGTCGGAATTCTGAGCCGACTGAACAGGAGCACTGTCGAACGAAGAGATAAAAGGAGCACAAATCGATGAGCAGTCATTCATGACTAGCTTTTATAGCTAATTATGGAGCTCCTCATAAAATAGCAAAAGGACCACCAGATGCCCCTCAGATTACGGTGGTAGACCTTCTGTCTGTTAATCTAGTTTATCTTGATGATAGGAATGTCTCTTCTCAGAATTTTCCATTGAAAGATCAGTCGTACGTCTTCTAGCCGACCGAAGTCTTCCATCCGACAGGGCAATGAGGTTATCAAGTCATCAAATGTTCCTATTTAATAGGTTATGAATATGAAAAAGATGATAAAATCAGTTATGAATATGAAATGGTGTCAATGTCGATCATAAATACGAAAAAGTATCCCTATTAAAATAGGGTCAAACATGTAATTGTACACAAGAAACCCTTAAAATCTATAAAGTGGGAGTCATTTCTACAATAAAAGAGTACTGACTAGCTCTATTTAAACCCTACATTTTACAGTGCACTCTCTCACTCTCTCGGTGTTTCTCTCTCATCATCTGCTCTATACATTGGGTATGATTCACAAAATAAATCTGCTTTCAATATCCTAAAAAGTGTGGTGAGCATGGATCATTCCAGCAACAAGAAGAGAAACACACCACATATAACTTGTATGTGTACAAGGGATTTTGGGCAACAACAAATCCAAGAACTTTGAGATCAAATGGTGGGTCAGATGACAAAGTTGACCCATGTATTACTTGAGGGAAGTGAGCAGGCTCTTCGGGAGTAGAACCCTCGAGAAAAACGAACCCAAATCCCAAGGTCGACAAGCAGCTCAGGAGAATTAAGGGCTTGAAGACTCTCAGTACCGGATAGTGCTAAGTCTACACCAATGAAAAGTTAATGGTTTGGTATTGAGATCCACATCTAGCAAAATAATGCAATCTCTAGACGATTCTCTGATGTTGAGCCACCAGAAAAATTTAAACTTCCTTCATTAGAATCCTACAAGGGTCGGAGTGATCAAGCTGATTATATCACTTCCTTCGAGTCGGTCTTTTTCCTTCTAAAGATCTCTGACACACTATAGTGTCAGTAATTTTACACCACACTGAGGTATTCAGCCCTCAAACGGTTTATCTGACTCTTAACAAGAGTAATCACCTCCTTTATTAAATTCCAGAACATGTTCACGATGCAGTTCTTCAACACCCAAATATGCTACAATAACTCACACGCCCTATCACATATCAAGCGAGGGTCAAATGTGAACTTTGTTCGTACATCACATGATTCCAAAAAGAAATGCTAGAGGTGCAGGACAGAATCCTCGGTAGCATAGGCTACTCTGATCGAAAGGTTGAGTAGCAAGTGATTTATGTATGTTTTGAGTTTGTAATAGCCCAAGAGTCTGGTTTAACTCTTGGAGTTAGCTAACAATCACATTGCAATGGAGAATTATATCCACCTACTGCCAAAAAGCTAAACAATTCAAACGCCACTAGCAAAAAGGAGCCTCGCAAGATATGAAGACAGTCGGGCATCACAAGATAGTGGAGGGCAAACAGGTCCCACCAGAGACAGGTTTTGCTTCATGTATCCCACTTAGTTAATTATATCTTGGGGGTTGTCTAAGAATACTTTTAATCCAAAGAATTTTTACTTATATTTGTAGCGACAACTAGCACAAGACTATCAAATGATGATTATCTCTTGTTAAGTCATGGGGTAGAGTGTGAGTCTCTCGCGGTCCCCACATGCGTAGTAGACTTATCGGCATACAGAGCCTCCGAAGTAACCAAATCATCCCAACGAGGAATCTCAACATGTCAAACCACGTTTAGACCATAAAGGCAGAGGACATCATTATAACCCAAATGAATGGAAGCTCATCATCGAGCCGTCAAGATGATACCAATGAAGGCAAAAGGTGTGACAGAGGTAGTTAAAGTAAGGGAGGAGTGATGCATGTTTTTTATGTGTTATAAATGTTTTTCAACATCACAACACATAAGGCAGCTAAACTAAAAAATATGCAAATTAATCATCATAAAATTTACTTCAGTATAATAAGTTTTCTCCTTTAAAATATCTAAAGTTGTCACTCCTAGTGAATTAAAGTGTACTTTAAATATCAAATGGTTATGTCGGCCATTACAAGTTGGGAGTTGTCGGTAGCCGGAACGGATATCCCGTCACCCGATTTTAAAATATGTTTAATTTAATATATATATATATATAATTTAGAAAAGAGTAATATTTTAATTTTTTGAAAATACAAGACCGAACTGATTTCATAACTGCAATAGTTTAAATAAATGAGCAAAACACCACAAGCAATATATCTACCTCGAAGGATAAATACACTACTTACTGGTCTCCCTCGACGGATAGATACAGTACTTGCTGGTGGTGTTTGATTAAATAAACTAAAAAATTTACGAAATTAGTTTAAATCTGCGAAAAACCATTTTTTATGTTGACAGACAAGTTCCCCTATGTAATATGAAAAATTAAATAGGATTTATATTAAATTGGGTTCTTAAAGTTTCATATAAGGGCAAGCCCCTATAGTTAATTACATCTTAGGTAACCGAAGTCACCTAAAAAAACTCACGATTTAGATCAGAGAATATTGTCTTCAAGAATTTCAAGGGGTTGGACTTTTCAATGATCGGACAAAGAGGTGTGAAATTGGAATGTCTTAAATTTGGAACAATTTATCTTTAAATCCAAAGGAAAAAGAAGTAGGAGATGTCATGGTTTCCAAGGAGAACCCCAGTGACTTCCCAAACTATCATATGGTTTGGTTTTAGTTTCGAGAGAAAAATTATTTAAAAGTTAAATTTTGCCAATTTTATTATTTATGGCTTAAATTTATGCGAGACAGTCACACAAATAACCCAGAAGATGTGAGGGTTTAGGTTGCGACGAACGACAAACTCGAAATTCCAAAACGAGTTAAGGCTTAAATTGTATAACAAAACTATACAAATATATAAAGACGAGTTGAGGATTTATATCGCACTAGGCGTACAACCTCGAAATCATATGGCTTGTTTAATTCTAAGAAAAGATGTGTTGTTGTATATCCTCATGTTGTTGTAGAATGATGCCCACAGAGTTACCTCCAAGCTTCTCAATGAAGTAGCAGTCCTAAAGTATAAGATTTAAATGTTTAAATGACAAGTTTAAAGTTCAATCATGGGGGGTTTAAAGTTGATTAGAGCAACACCAGTTAGGATCTCATGGTTCCCTCATTTCAGTATCACTATTTTCTTTTGAATTTACTTAGCTTAAACAAATTGTTACACTTATTTAAACCTGAGAGATTTCATTAGCAACCATGGGCTACCTCCTCTGAGGGACTCCCGTAAATTCAAAAGGACGTTTTAAGTTTAGTGACATTTCAAAGAATTTATGGTTACCTTTGAAACAATTTGTTTTAGATTTTTGAAAATGTTGATTAATTTTTTAAAATTATTTTGATTTTTGTAAGTAAAGTAAGGTGCACAACCAAACAGTTAAAATATTTTGCAGCAAAAGTAGATTGCTGAAAGTAAAATGATAGAAATTAAAAAACATTGTAAATGCGTACCTGTCATCTTCTTGGCATTCTCGCTGAAAGATTGACTTTTGCAACATGTATATAATTTTGCAGGAAATTTAAATAAATCAAAAGAGTAGATGAAGGTGTAGTTTATGAACCCTCAAACCATGACTCAGTGAGTTCCGAAAGATCTTAGTGGATGATTTTCTAGAACAAAAATATAATAAGTTCAATCATCCTTCAAAATATCCAAAAGATTTTAAAATATTTAGGACACAATCCTGAACAACTTTTTAAAATCCCTTGAAACGTTTCAAGTTCATTTTGAACTTAACATAATGCTTTATTAATCATCCTAAGGCCGAATTAAAATTACCCCATACTCAGTGAACCTTGATATTTTAATTATCTCACAAATGATAGTCACTTAACATTTCATTTGACAGTTATATGAATAGGCACCCCAAATGGCAAGTCTAAAGTCATTAAGGATTGTAATGCACGGAGTTAAAGTAGGGCCTCAAGTATTTCAAAGTGTTTATCAATTAATTAAGCTCATCTTTTCTAATCCCAATTGAGACAATTCTTACATATCAATCCTAGTTCACTATTAGGCCCCCTTGGTTTCAATTTTTAAAGTAAATTTAGGATAATTAAATATGGAAATAAGATGTTAATTTTCATTAATATTATGCTTAGTATCTAATCACCAATTGGTGGGCCTTAAATGAGTAAATTATTATATTCATAGCTTAAGCCCATTACTTTAGGACATCCTATTGAATTGACTTTCAAGTTATGATGATTAACAAAATTACCATTTTATCATGAAAAGATGATAAATTGGTTTTTACCTTTTAACCCATTATATTTCAATCACCCAAGAGATTATATTATAATCAATATTACTCATTTACCATTTGATTAATCCTAGAATTTAATTAAGGTATTAAAATCCAAAATTAACATTTTGCCCTAGGGCTCGCTATCTTATAACTTGTCAAATAAAGCTCAAGTGACCTTGAAATTTACATGGTAACTCAATCATGAGTTAATTGAAATATCAGA